CTGTCAGGAAGGTTTGATTGGAAACCAGAGATTTGTTTTAGCATTCACCTCCTTGTTCTCCACTTGCATTTTTCTTTGTAATAGTACAGAACTTGCTAGTCTAATCCTGAGCAAGGGCTGATTTATGATTCCTTCACGTGGTTCTATTAATAGCATGGGGCTCTGAGTGAATGCTGATTGCATGCAAATTCCACTGCACAGATGAGCTGTGATCACGATAATGGTGTAAGCTGTAGATAAGAAACCCCTGGTGAGAACTACATCCATCCTTCCACCTGATCCCCAACCATGAACAGGTCTATGAAAAATGTCAGTGTATTTCCAAAGGAAGAGAAACATCCAGAATGACACACCTCCAAAATGCTTGTTGCATACTGGAAAACAATAAGATTTTACACGTTTGTTCCTCCGTGATGATTGGGTTGCTTCAGAATTAACTGGGATTGAAAATCAGACTTTGCAATAGCACCATGATTGCTCAAGGAATTCTACCGTGGGTGTGTCCTGCTGCAATAATGTGGCTGCTGTACCCAACATCCACAGCACGCCTGCCCTTCCTGCTTCCAAACTGCTCAAGCACTTTATCTGTACCTTCCTCAGGACATTCCTCACTTTCTGCCCTGAGTTGGCATAGGATCTCCTGGAAGAATCTTAACTTTCTTCGTAGCCTGTATGCTAAACATTGTCCCCTAAACCTATAGCCTTATCATCATTGCACTCCACTCCCACCCTGTACTGCCAAAAAACATTTAGACACGCAGTTAGCATCCAGTCAACATGACTAATGAATGAACTAGATCTTTCCTAAAGATATGTTGTTGATTGTATGCTGACATGGTGCACACTTTCCCATGACATAGAAAGAAGAGAAATAAAGTAGTGTAGATTTTAGGTTCCAGTTGGGACACCTGCATTTGAACACATGCTTGTCCATTATGAATTCTGTAACTTGAGGTGGGAATACTTAACCCCCAAGCCTCACTTGTCTTACCTGTGGAATGGGAATGATGAGAAACTCACCTGCTTCACATAGACCACTGGCAGCATAAAATGAAGTAGCATGTTGGGACTCAGAAACTGATATCCCCAAAGGTTGCATTTTGATATGGTAAATGGAAGAAGCCTCAAGTTTCTCTAACCTCCCCCTCATCCCACACACAGTTCCTCCCATAGAAGGTGAAGTTCTTTTATCTGCTGAAGATCCAGATACCCTAAGGAGAACTTTTTTGGTTCCCCTCACTGTAATTTCATTGTCTATTGCAGAAAAGAAGACCAAGATATGACTACCCCTGAGGAGACTCTTTTCCAAGTAATGATGACTATCTCCAATGATCATTTAAATTACAAGTTAATCTCTTTTCCTGTATCTAATAATTCTCCCTAGCAATCAATTATTTCCCCTCAACAGAATTCCTCTTCTCCCTGACCTGCATAGCCTGTTTTACCAGGATCCAAGAACCCATTCTTTTTTTTTTTTTTTGGCTGGAGTGCAGTGGTGCAATCTCAGCTCACTTGCAACCTCCACCTTTCGGGTTCAAGCGATTCTCCTGCCTCAGTCTCCCAGGTAGGTGGGATTACAGCGTGCACCACCATGCCCTGCTAATTTTTTTATTTTTAGTAGAGACAGGGTTTTACCATGCTCCTGACCTCAGGTGATCTGCCTGCCTTGGCTTCCCAAAGTGCTGGGATTACAGACGTGAGTCACTATGCCTGGTCTAAGCCTCCATCCTTTCTGTAATCTCAGGATGGTGTATAAGCTTCTGGACCCCACTAAGAGGTTGGGTCTTCATTATGAAGGCTTTTGTGTATATACATTCAATAAATTAGTATGCCTTTTGTCCTATGGATCAATCTGCTTCATGCCAGTGATTTCCTGATAACCTTTACGGGGCCAAAGCCTACGGCTCCCACAAATACATGTGCTATCAGGGCCTGGTATGGGGGCCAGCTCTCAATGTTAGTCACTCTGATGATTAAAATCATGTGACCACCCATTGAATTCACACAGCAGTAACATAGCTCCTGGATTTCAACCACCCTCAAATAGGGTTGTACTGAGAAGCTCCTTCTATAGCTCTCACAACATCTGTATGGAGTCAGTTTTTCTCTAGTTACTGTAACAATATGAGACACAGTACTCATTCAGCTAAGAATAAGGCAGTAAGCCACAATGCAGTAGAATTGGTATACAGTTACATAATAAAGGTTCTTAGTCATTGAATATGCCTTTCCAGGCTTAGAGAAACCTCCAGTGGAGAAAGTGATGATCCATAGAATTACATGGCCCTCAAACACGTGGAGAGAACATGCCCTGAGTGACCAAGATGCACCCTAGCTAGTTAACCACTTCCATTTCAGTTTTCCTTTGTGCAGGGAGTGGTTCTCCTTAAGCAAATATCCCTCTTTTATTTTGTTACATAGTTATTCAGAATGCAACAGTCTCCTCCTGTGCAATAAGGGAAAGCCCTTCTTGGAAAGAAGAAATATTTTTAGAACATTCATATGTATCAGATTTAAAAAACAAAAACTTCCTTAAAAATTCATGGAATGCTTAGGGGAAGGGTTTTATCTTTTGGCCAAAAAACAAAAGAAAACAAAAAGAACACAATCATCTATAAATCAAGGGCTAAGACAGGTCTTGAAGACTGAAAATACTCTCCAAATACTCTAGAGAGAACTAGTAGTGAGACAACACTGAAGTTATACTTTCTAATGAGTCACAGTAGGTACCTATGCCATAATAATTACATAAAATTTAATCAATAGGTGTGACGAGATCAGCATGAGGTTGCTTGCTAGCCAACAGAAGTCTTAGTGTTGCATAAGCAGCCTGACACATTAAAATAGAACACTCATTAAAGAGATAAATATTCTACTGATTTATAATACTTAGATGTGAAAAATGCAAATTGATTTATTTGCAACATTTTAAAAAGAAAAAATAAAAGAGACAAGCTTATATTGGTATATGTACGAGCCCTAAGCATAATGCATTCTTCTTACAATCTTGTTAGAGAGAATGTTCTGGTTTTGTTTTTCCTAGTGAGTATTACAAATCGTACTCACTCTCATTACTTTACAGAATCACAGACTATTAGAGAAAAAAGAACCTCAGAACTTGCCTAATTTGAATACTCCTATCAAGATGATAGAGGAGAGGCCTGAAGATGTAAAACCTCTCTCAAGTTCACAGACATAATTAAAGAGACATCTAGAAGCTGGAAGAGTCCAGTCTTCTTGTTTCTTAAGAAGGTGCTCTTTCCATGATTTAAAACAAAACAGAATAAAATTTGTTCTAACAATCACCATAGGTGACCACCATTGCCATCAATCTGTTGTTTTAAACAAATGAACAAACACAACTCAGTAGGAATGTTCATGGATTTCCAAAATATGTGGATCGAAAGGATAGAAACTACTGAGTTAGTAGGGAAGAATGAGAGAGAACAAAAGTAAAAGGAAACAAATATATGAAATGCTGGAATATGGATAAAATGATTTTTTGTGTCCGTCTGATTCTGTCCAGATGGGTCCAGCAGTGTAATTAAATGTAAGAGGCAATGTTGCTAGAAAAGACTGGAAGTTGTGAGAGGTTCGGAGTGGACTGGAATGCTGATTTTCCATTCCTTTGCATAACTCACACACTAAGGCCTTCCCTACGTTAGTCAGCAAGAGGTTGCATGTTAGCCAACCCCCTAGCTCTTGTACAGCTAAGAGATCCCAGGTGTAATCCCTTATCCTGGGATCTCTGAGCTGTGCAAGAGAAAATAAAAGTATAGGGATGAATGATGTCATGTAGATATGGAAAATATGCTTTTTAACTTAAAGAAATCTTTATTAAGGAAGTCTACCCAATGTCAGTGAAAAAAATGCCACATTTCTCAGAAATAGGGTTATTTGCTAAGGAAGGGAGAGAAGAAGTTTGGAGAACAAGGAAAGAATTGCAGTCCTCCATGGATGAATCTGGAAAACATCATCCTCAGCAAACTGACACAAGAACAGAAAATGAAACACCGCATATTCTCACTCATAGGTGGGTGATGAAAAATGAGAACACATGGACACAGAAAGGGGAGTACTAAACACTGGGGTCTATTGGGGGGAAAAGGGGAGGGCCAGTGGGAGGGGGAGGTGGGGAGGGATAGCCTGGGGAGAAATGCCAAATGTGGGTGAAGAGGAGAAGAAAAGCAAAGCACACTGCCATGTGTGTACCTACGCAACTGTCTTGCATGCTCTGCTCATGTACCCCAAAACCTATAATCCAATAAAAAATTAAAAAAAAATAAAATAAAATAAAAAAATAAAAAAAAGAATTGCAGTCCTCAGATGCAGCAAGAAGAACATGAGAACCTCGTCAGTGTTGCCCTGAGAGCCTCATAAATAAGGCTGTAGTCAGCTGCAGGTGTTCTGGATCCAAAATCCATCACACATCTAACTGCTAATGACAAGGCATTGTTCCTATTTCATTGTTGATAGAATAAGGGATAATAAGGACTAAAGTTTTGTCTCTTTTCCTCCACTAATCTCTTCCATCTGCAGCCCACAGACTAGACTTCCCCTGAAATGTATCCACCGGCAACTGCAGACATGCACAAGAGGGTAAAGATATATATACTTTTTAAGAGACAAGGTCTCACTCTGTCACCCAGGCTGGAGTGCAGTGGTGTAATCATAGTTCAGTGCAGCCTCAACCTCCTGGGCTCAAACCATCTTACCACTTCAGCCTCCCAATTAGCTGGGACCACAGGCATGCACCACCACACCCAGTTAATATTTTTTGTTGTTTGTAGAGACAGGGTCTCCCTGTGTTGCCCAGGCTGGTAAAGGTGTTTTTTGTATTCTCTTTATCTTTCAAGATCAATGCATTTTTTGTTACCTTCAAAAAACCCCATACATTTGCTGTCTCTAAAGGCATCAGTAACATAGATGGAAATAGGAAAGAAGACACAAGGAGGCAAAGACTTAGTGGCTTTCTAAGCACTCACTGAGGAGAAACATACCCACACTCCAGTCCATTTCCTCAACAGCGTCCCCATAGACTCCATGTTTACTTTTGCTGGCAAACTCCTTGCTGGAGAACAGTGCCGTGTGCACATGGAGGTAGGACAAGACAAGCAGGAATGGAGCCTCAGTGTTCCTGCAAAAAAAAAAAAAAAAAGGGAAAAGAAAGACCATGGACAATGTAAGTATGTCTGCTACCCTTCTGATTAGGATCCACCTATTATTACAGCAGGCTATTTGAAAATTTACAAAATACTACAAATTAATTGCCTAATATGATACCTTCTTTCAGAGAAAGGTAAGTTTCCATTGTGTCTCTATGAAGTCACTTATTGTTACCCTCTGTGGATCAGGAAGTGAAGAATTACGTTATTGAGACATCCCCAAAGACCCAACTCAGGAAGAGATTTAATAGAAAATTGCCTGCATTTGTCTTTGTTGCTGTTTAATTCTGTTCTTCCTTCTCTACCTGGTGATTAATATGAATTCAAGCATCTTGAAAACATTATTTTCTTTCAGAAAAAAATTTATACACTAATACACACACAGAGCATTAGAAAAGACTATCTTTTAAAATTTTTAATTCATATATGCAAGTAATTATACAAATATATATACAAATATTGTATATACATATGTATCATTTGATATATACAAATTGATATATACAAATATTTCCTGTATATACTTGTTGGGGACAAGGCAATAATATATGTAATATGTGTATATCTTGAGGAATGATTAAAGCTAATTAAAATATTCATTTTCTCATATAGTTGTCATTTCTTTGAAGTGAGAACATCTACTCTCTCAGTAATTTTGAAATATATAATACATTGTAATTTACTATAGTCACCATGCAATGCAATACATTCCCAAACTATTCCTCCTGTCTAACTAAAATTTTTTATCCTTTGACCAATATCTCCCCATTCCCCATCCACTCCCCTAACCCCAGTCCCTGGTAACCGCCATTCTACTCTCTGCTTCTAGGAGTTCGAATTTCTTCTTAGATTCCACATAGAAGTGAGATCTTGCAGCATTTTGTCTTTCTGTGTCTGGCTTGTAGCACTTAGCAGAATGTCCTCCAAGTTCATCCATGTTGTTACAAATGACAGCATTACCTTCTTCTTAAAGGTAAACAGTATTCCATTGTGTACTGTCAGTTGTCATCTCCTTTCATCAACACTGTTTAAACTCCGACTCAACTTTGTATTCGACCCTCTTCTATAAAACAAAAAGTCTCCCAGAATAAACACTCAATGGTCAATACTGAAATTTTCAAAGTTAAATAGAACATTCTTTCAATTGGCATAAACCTATCAAGAGAGAGGAATTATATTGCAAATGTATTCCTCAATTCAGAGGGCACCTAAATGTCCTTCATTTGAATTGATTAGAATGCACAGATGCCACAAGTCACTGTAAATGTGGGGCCCTTGCTACAATGGGCTGTGAGCGATGCTACTGTGCAAAGGTCTGAGGTTTCACAACTGAGTCTGCTGATAGGGATCAGTAAGTCCCATGGCTGCTTCTTCACATCAGGTTGACCTCTGAGAAATGCATTTAGCGCTGTGTCTCAGTTTCACATCGTAGGCTCAAGCTTTACCTCTTATCTGGGAAATAATTAGCAATTCCTTTCTTGCTAAAAGAATCCTGGGTGAGTGGCCTTTTGGAAGGCTATTAGGGCACAGGACAAGTGTCCACTTTTCCCAGGGGTGGAGGAAGCTTTGAGAGATTCATGTAAGAAGCTGAAATGCTTAGAGGGGACACACCTAATGACAGCCCCTGCCTCACTGCCCACTCCCCAATGTCTTCTTCTTACCCTGATTCAAGCTCTTCCTTTAACTACTTCTGTGAACTTGGGTGGGTTCTTTAAATATCTATACTTCAGATTTATCATCAAAACATGAACAGTCAGCCTGGTGTGGTAGCTCAAGCCTGTAATCCCAGCACTTTGGGAGGCCGAGGTGGGTGGATCACGAGGTCAAGAGATCAAGACCATCCCGGTCAACATGGTGAAATCCCGTCTCTAATAAAAATACAAAAAATTAGCTGGGCACGGTGGCGCGTGCCTGTAATCCCAGCTACTCAGGAGGCTGAGGCAGGAGAATTGCCTGAACCCAGGAGGCGGAGGTTGTGGTGAGCCGAGATCGCGCCATTGCACTCCAGCCTGGGTAACAAGAGCGAAACTCTGTCTCAAAAAAAAAAAACCAAACAAACAAAAATCATGAACAGTCCTGCTAAAGCCTCACATTGATGCCAATACTCTTACACAGCCCAGCTTCTACCCCAATATGGTAACCAGTCCCAAACACAGCTTGCACATTCACAGCTCAATGCTCTGCCCATGATCATCTCTCGACCTAAAACTTACTTCCTTCACTCCCTGGCAAGCAGTCATTATTCAAAGCCATCTCCAATGCCACCTTTTCTGAGAACCTGTTCCCCTTTTCTAGGCAGCCCCATCAGGGCTGAGCACCATGGGGCATTTCATTTCCACTGAATCTCCAGGCCATGCCTGGCCTCTGGGGTTCAAGTGATTTTCCTGTCTCAGTCTCCGGAGTAGTTGGCATTACAGGTACACACCACCACACCCAGCTAATTTTTGTAATTTTTTAGTAAAGATAGGGTTTTGCCATGTTGGCCAGGCTGGTCTTGATCTCCTGACCTCAGGTGATCCTTCCACCTTGGCCTCCCAAAGTGCTCGGATTACAGGTATGAGACACTGCATCCAGCCTGGAGATTCAATTGCATTAGCAAATGCTAATAAAGCATGTGTTCCACAACACAGGAGACTTTTATGTGCTTTTTTCTTCTGCTAGACCACCAGGCTGGACACGTCATTCATGTCACGGTGGTCCTGACACCTGCAATGTGATTGGCAGGTAGCATAAATTCAGCAAATCTCTGTTACTGGATGAAAGATTGCATCTGCTTTCTCGGCATTGGCAGCCCCGCCCAGCAGTCAAGTGAATGGCAGGGCCTTGTGAATGCAATGTGAATTGCACTGTGAATGGTTTGTGTTGCATATGGTTTAGACTTCTCCCTAAGTCTCTTGTTACTTGGAAGGGACGTGGTTTATGTAACAGTTGCTCTAGAGCAGGGATTCCTCTGCAGAACTTCTCTCCTAACTCTCTTCTTACTTTGAAGGGCTCATCTCCTATGGTCCACATCTTTACCAGCCAGTAAAAGTTCAGAAGACAATATATATATATATATGTAACTAATTTTTCTTCTATGTGTTTCTGGCTTCCTTAACTTCTCATGATAAGCAAAACATTCCAAATTTCGGATTGGGTGTCACAAACATTAATTTTGCCTGGAAACAATAAACGGATGTATGCTTTTCTAAATGCATTTGTATTTTGCTAATGTTAATATACCTTGGGCTCCTCCCTACCCTATGGTTTCTTCTGGGTGAACTGCTCACTTCTATGGCTGTAACACTTCCCTTTTAAGATCAATCCTTACTAATCCTTATTAACCCCTACTCCTTTGAAAGAGAAAATTAGCACAAAACAGCACACTTTGGGTAAGAGCTAAGCCAGGCATCTCCAGTTCTCTGAAAACAGGCAGATCAAATCTAACAACTTATTGGTAATCATTAGTACCATGTTTTATTAATGCAGTACTTGGTAGCAAACTATGTCCCCCTCCCCAACTTTTTTTAAAGAATATAAAACAAGGAAATGTGGTTAATATCTCACTGCCAAGAAAGTAAAAGAAACAAAAACAAAAAAGTCCTTATAGTAGAATGATTTATAATCCTTTGGATATGGAAACCATCATTTTCAGCAAATTGACACAAGAACAGAAAATCAAACACCATATGTTCTCACTCATAGGCGGGTGTTGAACAATGAGAACACATGGACACAGGGAGGGGAGCATCACACACTGGGGTCTTTTGGGGGGAAATGGGGGGGGACAGACGGGGTGGGGAGTTGGGGAGAGATGGCATGGGGAGAAATGCCAGATATAGGTGAAGGGGAGGAAGGTAGAAAATCACACTGCCACATGTGTACCTATGCAACAATCTTGCATGTCCTTCACATATACCCCAAAACCTAAAATGCAATTAAAAAAAAAAGTCCTGAGTGGCTTGTCCCGCCTCTCACAGGAACTAGAATAAGAAGGCATGCAATGAGAGCCCACTAGACCTGTTCTATAACATTCACTGTTACATCTCAGAAAGAAAAGAGGACAGACTGCTGCTCAGATGGAAGTACTGGAACTGTCATCCTAGCTGATGACTTACATATGAGCATCTCTACCAAGCCATGTGTTCGGCTCCTTCTAAGAGAAGATGCCCTTGAGGAACCTGGAGGAGCTGAGACAGAGTCACAGTATGTTAGAGAACTTGGCCACACAGGGAAGACTGTGAAGCTTCCATCCTGCTTATTATGGGGAAACTTATTCACACCTGGACAAATTGCACCTCCTTCCCCAGAAGCAGATTGTGTTCCCCCAAACCAACTTAGATTCCTTAAAACGAACATGAAATCACAGCCTTTGTGTTCCTAAATAGAGAGTTACATTATGTATGAGAACAATTTCACTGCAATTTCACTCTCATCTGTTCTCCCATTTATTTTTAGATTTAAAGTTAAGGAAAATAGATAAGAAAGCTTAAAAAGTCAATCTCCCAAGCATCGTACATGGTCATACAGGATGTGACTGACAGAATTTGCTGAGAATGAAGAGTTATTGCGTGGATTAAAATGCCCAGCACTGGGCTCCAGTCCAGTTTTGACTTGAATTCTCCAATTTTGGATGGTAGTTCTCTTGTTCAAAAGTTAACAAATAAAAAAGAAGGAGACATCCATCAGCATTATTGGCAGGATCACAAAATTGAGGCATATTAAAATGTGAGGCGGAAATAAAGAAATAAATGATAAAGATGACACAATGGGCAAATGAGAGAGCCTGAAATAAAAACCGGTTCATGAGGACTGAAAGAACAGCTGAGTTCAGGGTTCAATTAAAGCTATGGAATGTGATCTTTCTCTTTGAATTCAAGGGAATCCTCCTTAAAAGGGCAGAAGGGAATTAATGTGTTTATTATCAAAATGCACATATTTATGGAACATGTTATCTATCATCTCTCTATAAAGCAGTGTTTTCCCAGCCTAT